GGTGCTTTAATTCAATATTACCACACGAAATATGATACAAAAAAGCGAAAGTGCAAATATACAAACTAAAGTATATTTTTTTTTTAAAATTTGCTCAACAATAAAAATTTAAGATATTTTTTTATGCCAGCATATATATATATATATATATATATATATATATNNTTTTTGCATACTTTTCCTAGATATAACTTTGCATGTTATCATATGAGAATAATCTTATTTGAAATAAAAATGATACTAAATAATTATTTAAATTGTATCATTTGTAATCTATTATATATATTTTTCTTTTCCTTCCTCAAATTATTATGATTAATATTTTTTCCATAAAGAAATGTCTTATCATAGTGTATCACAAACAGCTTAGTATTCCCTCAATGTGAAATTGAAATTTTATACAAAGCATTTTCAGTTCCCGTTCTTTCAAATAAGCGTTCGCATTTTGTGCTGATAATAGTGAAAATAGTTGTAACTCGCATTCTCGAAATATATTGAAAAATGGACGCTTTGTGACTGGAATAAAAGAGAAAATGTTTGGGCCATTGTCCACAGCCCTTTTCAGTAATGCGGACCCATTATCGACCACCTTTTGAAAAGATGTGATTGCACACACAACATGGATAACCGTATTTCACTTTGTCCACAAAGTACCATCAACTAAGAGAAAAAGAGCTTTATTTTTGCTCCTTTTCAATAAATACCATAAAGAATGCATTTTTTCTTTACTTTATCTACAAAAGTATTTTATATTTGCAATAGATAGTAAAAGAGGCATAAATTTTTTCATGAAACGTGAATTATTGGATTTTCTGATGTCAGGACGTACAAAATGATTTTTAAAAAATTAAATACTTAATAAATAATTAAAAAAATATACTGTTATAAAATGTTATTTTTAATATTATTTTGAATAAAAATACATTTTAACATATACTTTTCTTATTGATAACTCTAAATTCCTTTATTACAGTGATTCCCAATAAGTGTAACATAGAACTCTTAGATTCCACACAGAGATTCCGGGAGTTATGAGTTTTTTAATCAAGATATATATATATATATATATATTCAGTTAATAATCCATTACACGAAAATATTTAATATCTCGATTGTGTGGTTTAATCGATTAATATTTTAATTTTTTTTATGATTTAGTTGTTGATAGAGTATTGAATTATTTCACAATTTGATTAAGCTAACAGCATAATTCACATCTGCTTAAAAATTGCTCAACAAATTGATAAATATAAAAGTAGTATGTTATAGTTAAATAAACAATACCAAGAAACTGAAATGGTAAGGTATTACTTGACTAAAAATTTCATTCAAAAATTTAAAAATATACAAATTGGCAAAAACAGTCCATTTGTTTCAAGTGCTTAAAAACTGGCGCCCATCTATCCAGACGTGAATGAAGAAACAAAGGTGATTTTAAATATAAGACATAAAGTTGCCGACAGAAAATTTTTTAAAAAAATTAGAAACAAAACCAGAAAAATCACAGTGGCGTTGGGAGGAAAAATATTAAAAACATAGCAAGAAGCAGAACAGAAAAAGGGAATTAGCATTCATCCTTTTTCTTTCTCGGCCACTGTGATTTCTCTATTTTTTTTCTCTGCTTTTTCCCCACTTTTTTTGTTGTTGCAATTTTGCGTTTTATATTTCAAATGTCTTTTGTCTCTTCTCAATCACGTCTGGCAAGTCTTGAGAATGGGCGCATATTTTTGAGCGCTTCAAACATTTCGACTTACGTGTTTCCAATTTGTGTATTTTTGAAGCGAAGTTTTTAATCCGGTAATAGTATGCTATAAATATATAAAAATTGTTACAGTATTTCTATCTAAATAAATAACTATTACTAACTGAAAAATATGTATTACAATAACATACGGAAACTAAACAATAAAATTTCCTATTTAAACATACCATGTTTTAATTAATAACTTTTATTTTAAAGCATATTTTTAATTCTTGCATTCCTATTGCTGAACCAAAACAATTTATTTCTTCATTTAGTTAAAACTTTTAGTTAAAAAACACTCCTTGTGTATTTTTCTAATGAAAAATGTTTTGTTAAAAATATTTTTTCTTCCTTTTAATTTATATTTTTGGATTATTTTAAAAAGTAACACTTTAAACAAAAAAATCTAAAGTTCATTTCATCGCATTTAAAACTAACAGCTTTGTTATTACAAAAGCGTTGAGATGTGTATGCTGATATTTTTGATAAATTTACAAGCTTTTTTTCTGAGTTTGTTCCCCCTCATTAAATTAAACTTTATGCTCGCATTTTTTTAAAGAGCCTTTTTACGCCAAAGATATGTTTATTTGTTATTCTTTTATGCTCTAGCTAAATATTCTTTCTTTCGCTACATTTTGTGATCAAGATTTTTATGTATAAAATACCATGATCATTAATATTGTTTATACTTTCTTTTCACGAAATAGAAAGAAAGAACTTGGTTTTTCCAACCAACCACCGTTTTATTTTCTCGAAATACGTTTAAAATAAAAGGGAAAAAAATTTTGTATTTGTTTCTATAACTGTTCTAAAAAATGCTCTACGCTTTTATTTCCTGACATGAATGATCAATTGTATTTTGAAACAATTATGTGCTTGTTTAGATCTGATAATATACAAGGCATTATTTATATTTGTGCAAATTATAAACTTCTCAGATATTAAAATTTATGCTAATGCATGAATTTCTACTGATCAATCACTATCATTTGTATTAAATATGTAAATATAGAATTAAAAAAACTTATACAACTATAAACAACAACTTATTTTCTGTTTTCAGTACAGGTTCAACACAGTTCTAATAAAATTACCATACTGCATGGTATTGAAAAATAATTCTGTTTAATAAAACCAAATTATACCATATTTATACTACTCATTTAATAATTTTTCTATTCATAAGGTAACGGTTCACCCGAAATTCTAATTTTTCAAAATTATATTTCTTATTATCTCACATTTAGTGAAAAATGCAAAGCTGAAAAGTAAATTTTACCAATTTTATGGTTTTTATGCTATGCGCTATGGTATCATGATAAAATTACCAACCTTTAACATATATTATAAAACAGCATTTATTGTTAGTTTTGCCAAAATCATTACCAAAGCGTTTCGGTAAAAATTACCGATTTTCTTAAATGTTCTTATACAGCCGAGAACACTATATGTGTTAGTATAGTTTACCATATTGTGTTAGTTTTGACTATACTTTTTTTCTCCCTGTATGAAGATTAATCAACAGTTTCGACTTATGTTAAAGTCAAAAATATACTATTGAATTGAATAATTATAAATTGGCTTGAACGTATATTCTTCAAAAATTTTTGACTAATTTATACTAAGAACAATCCAATCACAAAGAATATCAAAATTATTAATATTGAATAATTTTACATTCTCAGTCTATTTTCTTTATAGCAATATCAAAATCACCATAATTCATATTTCCGTCTATATATCTTTTGTCCTTTTTTTTTTGTAACTAAGAAATGCAATATAGACTTTCCAAATATCTTTTTTCCCGGAAAATTTTCAAAAGTCTCTTTCCTTTTTTGTTAACTTAACAAAAGTTTTTCAATCATCGAATATAAACATTTATTTTATGAGAAATTACCGTAAGGCATTTCTTAGCAAAGCTTAGCTTAGCTTAGTTTACTTTTCAAAAATATTCAACAACATCGAAATTAATTTTTTTTTATTATGATGTAAGTATAAGTATATCTGAGTGCAGCTTTAGCGCTAAATGAAATATTGAAATATGCGTAATGAATTTAAAATTATACTGTATGGTCTAGTAAACAAATAAAAGAAAATTAAATTTGCTTTTACTCAAAGTTAAATTATAATTTTTTCACACAGTACTTACGTAAATAATTGCTCTAGATTAATATATTTGCAATTTTTTGTTTACCATTTTGTTGCCTAAAAACAATTAAATATGAATACTTTTAATGAAAATTTGTTTATTGTTTTCACTTTTCAATATTAGGTAAATAAACTATAATTATTTTGGAGTCAACATTTATATCTATTTGATGCTGAATTATTTCAAACTAAAGAGAAAATTTTAACTAAATTTATTTTAGACATATATTCGCAACCCTCTTATAATTAAGACTCAAACTGAATATAATTAACACATTACACTAGAGACGTGTTTTGTACTCACAGCAAACATTTTCCAGATACTAAACATATGAATGGTTGTCTGAGGAACTGAATGATACCATTTGTATACCTAATGCAATTTAAATAAATGAGTTTAAATGTAAGCCATTGCTTATTGTGTTTGCGAAGTTTACACACTGTAAGGATGTTGTTTGTTCAGATTAAGCTATACTTTCAATGCGTTTTTACCTTGTTAAGTAATGCAAACATAATTCCTTAGAGCTTTTTTTATTTTAAGTCTTAAGTAATGTTTTTTTAAAATAAATCATATTTAAAAAATAAGCTTTTTCTTAAGCAAAACTGATTTGTAGCGATAGTTTTTAAATTACAAAAATTTAGAAGCAAATTTTACTTATTTTATTCCGGAACTATGCATTTATTAAAGTAATTAAGTTCAGGAGTTTCGAGTTACAAAGCTCTTTGGTAAAGATTTTGAAAATTTAACACTAAAATATGGTTTTATAATGCGTGATAAAATTTTGTAAACGTATTAAAATTTGGTAATTTTATCATGATACCTTAAAGCATGGCATTAAAAACCATTTATAAGGTTACATTTACTTCTCAGTTTTGTATTTCCAACTGAATGTGTGTTAATAAGCATTATAATTTTGAAAACCAGAATTTCCGGAAAACCGTTTCCATATGAAAGGAAAATTTAATAAATGAATGGTTTAAATACCGTATATTTTGTTTTATAAGCTAATTTTCTATTTATTTCTTTTCAATACTATGCAGTACGATAATTTTGCCCCATTTTATTCCTCGCGCAAATTTTTAAAATTTTTACATTTTTCTTTTGTAGGTTTGAGCCCTTGGACAGATTGGAGTCCATGCAGTGGATCTTGTGGAGGAGGAATCCAACAGAGAAGACGGCAATGTGAAGAAAGCATTAAATGTTCGAATGAAGAAGGACAACAACGAACATGCAATATGTTTCCCTGTCAAGGTAAGAATAAGATTTCGCCTCCTTAACCCCTTCCTTCTCGCTCCCGTGAAAATGACGGGGAGAGATTTCGCCCTCTATTTCTCGCTTCCATGAAATTTCCGGGCTGGAATGTTCAGTAGTAACGCACCAATAATAATAAAACTAATTCATTTCTTTTGCCTGGAAAACATTTCATTTCTCATTTTCCTCACCAGATGGCAGTACCAGGATATTTTTAAGGTAATTGTAGATAGTTAGTTTATTATAAACTAGATGTCAGCACTAATTAAGTACGTGTATTTGGTAAAACAGGCACTTTTATGACTGTTTTCTTGAAAAATAACCGATTGTTAAGGGGTTAAGGTATACTTGTTACTATTCCATTTTTCTCCGCCGTTTGCAAATAAATTGCTAATATCCTATCCAGTTTTGGCTTTAAAGTCATTTTTAGGTCTGTGAACTAAACTAAATTTAAGTCATTTAAAGACCCTATCCGTATTAGAAATCACTGGAGAATTTATCACATATTTTACCTGGACGACTTTGACTTCATAGAACAGCAGAGATGTGATTTTAGACGAACTTTAGACTAAAAGAATACGACATGTATGACTGTTATCAAGAATGAGATAAATCTACTACCAAACATTATTGGAATCTTGGGTATAAATACAATTTTGATAGTACCAAAATTTTACCAGGACGACTTTGGCTTCTTAGAACAGCATAGAGGTGATTTTAGACGAACTTTAGATTACAGGAATACGATATATATGACTGTTATCAAGAATGAGATAAATCTACTACGAGACATTATTGGAATTTTGGGTATAATACAATCTTGATATTGCCAAAATTCTTCCGACTTCTGTCATATTAACTCATCTTAATGCCATGAAATCTTGTTTCATCCATATAAATGCCGTTTTTTTAGTTAACGACATGTTTTTTTTCACAACCTCTCCGTGGCACGAATAAATGTATTTTACTCGTAAAATGTTTTTGCCCTGATTTGCCTCTGTCACCCACTGCGATTTTCCGATTTGTTTTTTTCTGCTTCAAGCTTGGCAACCGTATTTTTCGCCTTCAATTTTCATTTTTCGTTGGTAATTTAACAGTTTATCTTACAAACCACTTTTGGTTTACCTTATTCCTGTCTAGCGAGTCGGGAAGCTGAGCACCAATTTTTGAGCGCGTGAAAAATTCAGTCTTTTATTATTATCTTCGGTATATTTGAAGCAAAAAATATCATCGAGTTTAGCATCATAATTATCATAAATTTTATTATTCAACATCTCTAGACGTCTTCTTTTTATTACGAATAAAGGTCGTCTTTTAAAACGAAAAAAAAGTAGTCATTGAAATGCCATTTAAGTGTTTTATTTCGTATTTTTATATACTTCGTTATTACGGACATCAACGGAAAAACAGTTCAATAAATACGGAAGTAATGGTTGCTCTATTAATGTTTTTGAGAAATGATTTGCTTATTAAGGAAACCTATCATCTTTCCTATATAATCAAGGATAAATGTATAAAATGATTTCTAAATTTCTGAAGAAAAAAAAAGGTTTCAAAAACGGTCCCTATGGTAGAAAATACGTGTCTTTTTTCTCCTTAATTTTGCGAGGTAGTTTCGTTAATTGCTAACTAACCTTAAAGTCGAAACGTAAAGTTTTGTCCCGTTTTTCTTCAGAAGCTTAAGAAGCCACCTTCCATATCGGCATAGGAATTGAAATGTTCTCTCTCACTGAAAAAAAATTTAAAAAAGAAAAAATTAAAAAAAAAATTTTCATATGAGAATTGTTGAAGGCCTCCGAGATTGGGGCAAATTATTCGAATAAAATATAAATTGATTTAAATAATTTTTTATTTGAATTCATATATTAATTCATATATAATGAATTTTTTTATTTGAATTCTAAATATAATTGATCATCTGCTGTAACACTGTTACTATGCTTTATAATTCGGCTAAAAATTTATTTACAACTGTTAGAATATAAAGTTTTAGTTATTACAAGTATTTTTGAACATACAAGCAAAAAGAGCCTCAATGGCTTAAGGACTGAATTGTCATTTAGGGACTGAATTGTCATTTAGGGACTGAATTGTCATTTGGAAGAACTGTGATCCAATCCACCCATTACTGACCACATTGCTACCATTATGGTCTCGGAATTGTGGATCCTTAACCGCTATGAACCTCTGTACCACAACGGGTTGTTGCGGTAATGCTTTTATGCAGCCGAAAAATAAATTATGAAATAGAGATTTAATTTTAAAAATTGTCCGTAAACTGACGGATTTATAATATTTATACTGCACTAATTTTAATATTTTTTATGCATATAATTTAAACTCGTGTAATATAGTAACATAAAACAGAAAGAATACACTTTCTCATAATTGAAGTAAAAATATTAATCAGTTTTGTAAGAAGATTGAAATTATTTTTTAAAAGGTATTTTTCATATACCATATATTCCAAAATGTCCAGTTGAGAAAATTAGGAGTTTTATTTTATTTTCCTTAATGATTTTCGTTCGTAAAACTTTTATCAATATCACTTTAATATACATAGCTGATATATTAGACATATGGTTTTGACTAAGCTTTTTAAATTTTATGCATATCTTTTTTATTTTGTAATTATATTCTCAAAATTGAAAATCTTTTGTCGTATAATTAAAACTCTGGAGGCAGTTTGAAGCATTTGTGTACTTTGTCGTTCTAAGCATCCGAAACTTTTAATTATACACTTAAAGCACTTTAAATAACTACCTAATTAAAGGAAAATAATTTTTTACTCCCGGCATTCAAAATAATTTTTTTAATTAAATTGAAAAGTGAAGAGTTAGCCATTATTTAAGGAAGTTACGTTTCCTTTTAATATATGGAAATACTTTTAAAGTGCAGTCTCTTTGAATACAAAATTGTTTAACGAGCACAATTATGCTGAAATATTTGAAACGTTTGTCTAACACTAAATATCCGAGCTTTGTCAAACATAAAAAAACTGAAACACCTAGTAATAATAGTTTCAATTTACTATAGTGAATTTTTAATAACTGCATACATTGGCTCATTTTATCTTATAATTTAAACAGATAAGTGATTACAACAAATATTAGAAACAAAAATTACCATTGCACAAAGATCATTCGTTTTATTTTATAAAGATAACATGAAGATAAACATAAAGAAAGAAATATAGTAATGTTCAATTTGTTGTTCAAATTATAAATTACACAAAATCATAATTCTGCAAAAAAAACGAAAAAAAAAATGGAAATTACTCCCTTAGAAATATCTATGGAAATGAAAATAATTCTACGTTTTATTTATGTTATTGTAATTAAAACCATATACATAAGAACTTTCCTGAAAAAGATCTGAAGGTAAGTAATCTTTCGGAAACAGTCAATTCGAATGTGTTTTAATCAGTTCCTAAAATATTTTAATTTAAACTTTTATTAATCTATAGCAAGCAATAATTATTGGCTGATATGATGATGGTTTAGGTTTCAATAAAGCGAAAAAAATAAATTTTTAATTATTTCTTTCTAATTATTTATTTCCAACAATATTGCTTTACTTGCTCTTAATTTTGCTTTCGTAGCAATTTAAATTAATGATCAATGCACCACTTTTAGCTCTCCAGCAAAAAAGTAATAAAATTCTTTTCCCTATCACATTTTAATTAAAATTCTTGATCCAGATTCACATTGCTGAAAAAGTCTTAAACGAAAGTTTAATACATAAAAAACAATAAATAAATAAAGCTTCGTATTTAAGTAAATAACTTACGAAGTTTACCTGTTTGCCAAGATAAAAAAATTTTGATAACTACTATTTTTGGCTGCTCTCTGCATTCTTTTTAATGGAAGAAAGGAAGATAAAAGTTATTTATCACTTTTAATAAAGATTATTTTTTCACCAAAGTTTTGAAATTGTTTTCCCCTTAATGGATTTTAGTTATGTGCCAATTAACACCCTAGCTAAATTGGAATATATTAATTCATCCATGCCTGATTAAATTTACCTCTATCGAAACCGAACCTTTGAATTAACAAAAAGAAATAATGATAAAATTTTTTTTTTTGACCGTGTTTGTAAGAATTAATTTAAAAGTTGAGGTTAGAATTTGAAATCGACTTTGTGATTTCGTGCAAAGTTTTAAATAGACATTATACTCTGTATAGACGGCCCTTAATAAGTATTTTTACATTCCTTATCAAAAATTAAAACAAAAAATTCCTGCATTGGGATCGGAAATTATTATTGAACCGAAAAATCATGAAAAATTTTATCAAAATCTGTCGAATTGTAGTTGAGAGTACGGTTGTAAAGAACACCAAATCAGGTTTAATTGGAGGTTGAAACTTAGAAGTGTTTCTAATAATTGTCTTTCATCTCTTCTTACTGCAAATAAACCTGCTATTTTGCATTTTACTCTAGCCTTTCTGTACAGTGATTTGTTAGGTTGCAAAAGTGTTTGTGTTCCTTTATTGTTTAAATGTTAATTTTTTACCACAAATGTTCAATTCATTTTTGAGAAGAATTCTAAAAATACTTAATTATGAGCTGTCTTTGCGTAAAATTCTGTATAGAAAGTGAACATTTCTTGATAAAAAAAAATTCTGTCTATAGAAAAAAGGGAACTGAAAATTCAGCTTTAAGTTTTGCATTCTCAGAAGCTTGACGAAATAAAGTTGTTGTAAACGTGCAGTATTGAAAAATAGATATCATTTAATTATTTTTAAAGAAATTGTATTGAACATACATACACCAAAGAGCAATTACATTATGACCATCCTGCTAATAATATGTAGGACCACCTTTAGCCCTCAAAACTGCTAGCACCCGCAGTGGCATTGATTCCACAAGGTGCTGATAGGTAGTCGAAGGTATCTGGTACCAAGCGCTCACCAACTGGTCCTGCAATTCCCTCACATTGCGTGGAGGTAGCGTGGCAGCACGAATTTGGTTTTCCAAGTAGGACTACAAATGCTCTATTGGATTAAGGTCAGGTGAATTTGGGGGCCAGGACATGACTTGAAAGTCACTGGAAT